TGTTCACATTTTCTTCTGAATCCCCTACATGGCAGTAAAATAGAATTTTAGATAGTTTTTCTCCCCTATCTTTTGGAGAGAGTATGGCGTAACTCATTCACGGAACTATGTGTTTTGGTTGTATTGTGTGCAGTGTGTGGATGAGAAGTTCCTTCACCGGCCACTTCTAAGTGCTTAAACGTATACACACCCGACGTAGCCCTGCATACCTTAGAATCATCCCGTCTCTGAGGTACAACAGGGAGTGTAAGGTTGACTCTCGCATTGAAGGAAACAGAGGCTCATAACACTTGAATGTCTTATTTCAGTCCAGATACCAAAGCATAGTTCCAGCTGAGATTAGAGCTTTGCTGAAGTGCCTTGGTATTGCTGGAATAAGGGCTGTCTGGAAAACTGGCCTGTAAATGGCTCGTAGGTTTGTTGTTTTGTCTTTAAAAGGAGATACCAACCGTACACATTTTTCAGAACTCTCTTTTCTCAGACAGACTATAGTTTTCCTTTCAGACATTTTATAAAAGTAATTAATCTTATTGAGCATATGGACAGTGATATCCGGACACAATGAACTGATTTAAGAATAAAGAGACTACTTGAGCTCAGGGTTTACTTTCTTGTCAGCTGGTGTCACTGGTTAGTTTCATGGAGGGTTTCTAAACATATATTTTCTGTGACTGGGAACATACCATTCAATGTAGAGTGGACAAATGTGTGGATTGTGGCTTCCAAATTCTCCTTTATTCAGTGCCCTCTGAATACCCTTCTAGTATTCCAGGTTCTCAGGACTCAAACACGTTTGCTAATAAGATCAGAGTGAGAACTTTATTAAATACTGGTTCATGGAAGATTTTATGGTTTTATTGTGTAGTTTGACTGTACTATCCTAGTCTGCATTGTATAGCTCCCTAAATTTCATGCTTTTGATATGTTCTTTCTCCAAAAGGGCATTGCTATAATGGCAATGTAATGACAACAGGAGAATTTAATGCTTTTAGAACATTATATTTAATAACCATTACCTGTAATATATCAGACAGTGAATATTTGGAATTTATTAAGTCATAAATGGGTCATCAAATATTTGGGTGGTGGAACTGATTGGTAAGTGAGTTGGAAGCTACTGGAGCTGAAATTTTGGGAGGCTGGTTAATTTGCAATCTCAGTAACATTTCTATGGAGTTGCTTGAGTGTTAAACATACGAAAAGCATAATTAGGCTTTAATAGCTCACTTATCAGGGAGATTCACACTCAGTGTTCACAGTGGTACAGAACCCAAACTGGAACCTAACACCAAAGCAAAAAAGTATTTTTGGGGGGTGTGGGTGGGAGAGTGGATGTAAATGAGAGCACACCGTTACTTTTTGAGTTCACAGACCTGATAGCTATAGTTTTTTGCATGTTTCCCCACTGTCAACTATGAGCTACTTTTTCTGCCTTAGTCTCCTTATCTCTGAAACAAAGATAATAATTGTCACCTCTTAATGTACACACATGCACACACACATTACATATACACATTTTACCTGACATCACACTGTTACAAAGTCTGCATAAACCATTTAGAGGCAATTTGATATACTTTTACAAACAATGCTAACAATGTTGACTATTTTATTGGTCCACAGAAAATTTGATTAAAAGTCATATTGTTATATACAGGCATACTGAACATAACAATAATAATATCAATAATTTAAAATATAGCTTATAGTTGATACATACATAGTGCTTACTAGGGGCCAAGCCCTATAGATATTTTATATATAAATTGTTTACTCTTCAGAAACCATTATGAGGTAGCTACTGTAACACTCTTTACATATGAGGAAACTGAAAAAGAAAAAAAAAGGATTGTGCTCAGTGTGACAGTGAGAATAGAGGTAGAAACATTACGGTTATCTGGTGTATTCGTTAAAAAAGCAGAAGTCAATAGTTATTTATTGCAGATCAGGGCATCCCTCAGTAACCTCTTCAGGCAAAGTAGTGTGTAGGCAGGTCAGATGTCATTAAAATCACTCCTGAAAATACACTAAACAAAAGTTTGTTGGGAATTTTAAGACAAAGTAACATCAGATAGATCTCAAAACTAGTTTCACCAAAAAGAATTTTTAAACCTTTGAAAACCAAAAGATTAAGTTCCTTTTCATTGGTCAGGATGTTAAAGAACACATCTCTTTAATTATGCCCAGAGTACAAAATAATATTCATCATAGCTTTTGTAGGTTAAAAAAAGTGAAAAGAACGAACAGCAACCACACACACACACACACACACACATCCACACGTACGATTTATTGAGATTTAAGGATGTAATTTGGAACTTTCTGTTTCAAAACAGTTTTTAAAGTCTAGTAAAATTTCTCCTTTGTTTTCCACCTACTCTATCACATTAGAGCCCTGTCACTCTGCATCAGGCATGCTTATAGCCATCCATACCTTTTCCTGCTAATAATGCCTTGAGATGATAACTCATCCATTTATCTAGATTAATATTCACTTTCCTTCAAGTTGATAAATCGAAATTAGGTTCTTTGGGATTCATCTGCTCTATTGATGCTGAACATACGAGGAGATTCAAGGATGTGCCAAGGATGATTTTTAAAGCGAGGATTATTTCTGCTTGTGAAACAAGACTTAGGTACTAAGTCCTCTTAGAATTTTTTGTTGTTGTTGTAATCTGACCCTGCTAAAATGTGGAAAGTTTTGATTATATTGAAATCAAAGGGTTTTGTTTAACAAAGGTAACCATAAGAAGTATATGGAAGGGTGATAGGAAGACTATATTTCAATATCAAAATAAAGCATGAGATGTATAGATAGCGAGAATATTTAAGGAACTCTTTTAGCAGTAGGTTACTCAAGAGAAGAGAGAGCTTAGAAAATGAAAAGGAATTCAGAGAGGTGGAAATCGGAAAAACCAGTGAGCATTTGAAGAGCTGTCTTGCTATCCATCAGGGAAGTACAAGTTAAAGCACACCTTGAATTCTCCAGACTGGCAAAAATTAGAAAGTCACATGATATCTAAGCCTAGTGAGGATAGGGCAAAATGGAATCCCAAGGGCACGTCTGTTGGAGGTACCCATGTTACAGGGCAATGTGGCAGTATCTAGTGTGATTAAGTTGCCTGTGATCTAGTTCTAATTTCTGGGTATAGTCTTTCAAGACTGTGTAAGAGCAGTGGGATGTTCACACCCACACTTGGGTGATAGCAAGAACTGGAAGGCACGCAATGACTATCACTGCTTGTAACAATAGGAAAAATAGAGTGATATTAGGGGCACAAGACAACTTGAACGCTCACCAACAGTGCTATAATAGCAGTGCTATAATAAAGGATGTAACACTATCTCCTAAATACTTGAATGATAGATGGGCAGAACCTACGTTAACTAGTACTAAAAAGTGCTTTTGTGGGAGTTGGGCTTGGAAGAGAACAAAGAAAGAGAAGCATTTAGTAAAAGACAAGTAGATAAGTATTTAAATCAATTACGGGATAAGGATGAGTAACTCAATCGGAGTATGCATTCCAAAAAAGGAAATGGACAAATAAACAACCCTCTGCCGATGCTGTCCTCTCTCCCTTCATGTGACTTCTGTGATACACTAGGTTTGGTGGGCTAAGATTCTGAAGGGTTTTTGAAAAGAGAGGAGGATTCTGTGATCTCTAAAAGTCTTGTCTAAAGATCTTTGCTGCTTATTCATGACTGGCTTTCAGGCCTCTGACGAGTCCCACTGACTTCACAAAGATACCATCATCTTCCAGAATACTAAACTAGGATTGGTCTATTTAATGCCTCTATTATTTGGTGACTCCAAGTGCCATGATTTCTGAGAGGTAACCACTGTCACATGTTCCAATGCACAACTCCTTTTGGATGATATACTGAACCTGAGAAAGAGCATAGACATAGTATTGGCCTCCAGATGTATTAGAGTTTGAATTGTAGCCATCACGTACCAGATATGAAATTAAAAACAGGCTTTTTATTTTTAAGAGTGAAATATTGCCATCTAGTTTATTTTCTACTGTGTTTGCTGTTAATCATGGCATTTGCAATTCTAATTAGGAAATGGGTGAACTTAGCAAGCAATGTAAATTTGATAAGCATATCCTATGAGGAGATCAAATTATATTTGTAAAGAACCTCATGTACTAATATAAATCATAATTGTATTAATATATTAATAAGTTAATATTAATATATTAAAATCTTAAAATCTTAATAGCTAAGAATTGATTTTTTAAAAATGAAAGTTGTTCTGATTGTCACGAAGGCAAATCTTATTTATTTATGACTGAAAAACATTAGAAGAGAAATACATACAATGTGTTGAAAACTTCATATGTTTGAAAAGATTCCACATGTGGATGTATAAGTGAGAAAAACATGTTTTAATACAGGTAAAAAAAATACTAAGATTGAATTACCTAAAAAAGCAACATATATGACTCTCTGTATAACACCTAAAACTAGTTATGAACTGATGCATAGAAGTTCCAGTGATTTAAAACTGATTGATCTTGACAATGAATATAATCAATGATTGAAAATTGGCTACTTGAAACTGTTTATTTAGAAAAAGTGACTATTGTCTATCAAAAGAAATGGAGTATTGGGTATACGCCAAGATAAAATAATTATATTTTGAGAATTAACAGTAACCTAAATTCAAAGATGACTGATGATCTATAATAATGCTTATCATGCACAAGTGTAATCACCTGATTACTGGGTTGTCAGGGTGCTAACATTCTTTTGAGCTATGTATTTTATTTTATTGAATAAAAGAGTGAGTGTATGAATAAATGTATGGACATACAGATATATAGCTATGTGAAAGCTGAAAATGATAAAAGAAAAAGTTCAGAATCACCTTAAGTGGGAAAAGACATGACTTTATATATCTATCCATCTATCATTACAAATTGAAGAATTTAGGCTACATTTGTATTTGAAAATAATTCTCAATTAAAATTTTAGCTATCACCGCATAGAAAGTTCAGAATCTCACTGAAAATATGGAACTTAGAGCCAACATATTTCCTAAAATGGAAGTAATGGCATAAAGGAAAAATACAATAAAAACTGAGAGCCTTGTAGCACTGGTCTCGTAATTTGTAGTCACTGCAGAAATAAGCTGCATGAGTGATGTAAGGGTTTGTGTCAGAAGGGGCTGTAGCTAATTTTTTAAAAATAATGGTACTGGAAGCATTTATGATATCTATAAAGGCGTTCTATTTTTGAACACTGACAAAGATCAAGGTACAGGATATGTTACACTATTTTGGAGGAATATCAAATGAGAGACCTAGTGTCCTTCCATTTATATAATGCCATAAAATATAAATTTTGTTTAATTTGCTCTTTTAGATTAAATATTAAGAAAACATATTGTTGATAAAATGTTGATGATCCTTAATTTGTACTTCAACTAATATGCTATGTATGACAAACACCCCATATATAATCATGCATTCTGGAATGTACATCTAAAATAGATACCTTGAGTAAAGTTTTTTTTAAAGCATTTCTCCATGATCTGAAGCACAATAAATAATTATTAGATTTATTTATAGGTTTATATCCCTTATCTTGTTTCACCAAGTTTTAAAAAATCTCTTGTAAAGTGTATGTATGAAATAAAGGGTAAGATGAAATTTTAGAGTAAAATGGAGATGGAAAAATAATAAAAATCTGTACAAATAAATTTTGTACACTTGCTACAGATGTATCTCAGAGTGACTCTGTTTAATTGTCATATCAAAAGAAAACATGTGAAATTTTTGTTGGCTTAAAAACCATTTAAAATCAGGTTAATTGTAAATTGTACAGCTTTTCTTGATACCAAGATCTGATAGGAAATTCCCTCAAGGCTCCAACAGGACATTATATTATTGATATTGCTACACCTCCAGTATATATCACTGTGTGTGTGTGTGTATCCTACATTCATGTATATATTTTATATTTGTGCAAAATGCAGTAATGGAAATTCTGCTAGAGGGTCATTGCAAAATTAATTAGTACAAATAGATACTCTGGTCTCTGATAACATGACTTCTTAATCCAAGAAAATAATTCAAACTGCCTTCATAGGGTTTCTAACCCCGAGATATGTATCATCACAGGGGTTCCAGTGATGGGATGAAGGCATTTTGTAAAGCACCCAAAATTGTAGTATGTTAATATCGTTATGTATCATTTTAGATTTTCCCTACTTCCAACATACATAACAATCTCAAATAAATTGTAACATACTAAATTTAGAGAACCATTGCACGTCATGTGCTTATTAACTATTTAAATTCTGAATTAGCAAGTATAGTTATGTTCTTTGATAATTTATTACTATTTAATTGTTAGCTTTTAAGTAATTTGCTTTTGGCATCAACCATATCAGAAATGAGGGTCCCTTTATTTTATGGTTTTCATGATACTTTCCTTAAAATTACAGTTTTAGGTAAGTTATATGATTTTCTCCTAGGACCTTCCCTCATAGAATTCAGCATGTGGCTGAAAGTCTTAACTATCATGGAGATTGATTTGCTATGATAAGAGCCATGGATGAATTGTTTATGAACCAATATTTGGAGAAGGATTTCACTGTTCTTCATATTCATATTGTCTCAATTAGTGACACTTATCAAATCTGTTTCTTCATATAATACCCAGGTATCTGTCTATATAAATCAGCAATGCCATGTAATTCTTACGGTATAAACCATTTTCTCCCTGATCAGACTTTCTACTTGATACTTGGAGGATGTTGGATCTGAATCCACTAACAATCCCAGAGACAAGTGGGATGAAAGGGTGGAGGACAGGACGACTACTGTCCATGCGCAAGGTAACTGCCTCAGGTGAGGTCATTGCAAATCCATCAGGCAAGGCAGAACTTCTGTCACTAGACAGGAGAGGTACTTTTTCTGCTCTTTAAGAGATTTTGTGTGTGTGTGTGATTTGTGGGTTAAAGTCCTTAGATTTATCATAATTCGTCCAAATGTTCCATTCCACTTTCCAGAGATCTAGTCAGTCCCTTAAATTTTATGAGATCTGGCAGGGCTGGTAAATCTATTTATGTTCTAATTTAGCAATCCTTAGGAGAAGTTTCTGCTCTGCTTTTCAGTGTCAGCAGCCCACCCTTGAGTCTGCAAGAGATATGGGATTCTTTTAGGATAAACATGGAGGCTTTCTCGTTCTTCATTATTACTTAAGCTGAGAATTTAGAACCTTGAGCTTACCTTTTTTTGTTTTAATGAAATGTTTCTAGTGCCATCAGAATAACCAGCACATTATTTGTGTTACTCATAACTAGATACTGGAACATGGAGACTATCTCCTACGAACACTCACGTCTTTTAGAACTTGTTTAAGAGCTGCAGAAAGATGACTTCTATTTCATTCCTGTCTTTCAAATCTTGCATAAATGCATCTTAGTGGCAGAAACTAAATTGTATCCAGTACCTTAGTCACAAAAAAGTCTGAGGAAAGGCTTTTAGCCCTTGCAATACAGAATGGAGCATGGGGCGGATTTGTTTTACTGTCTTTTCAGCATCACTTGACAAGTTGATTTTTGTCTTTTTAAAGCACTTTCTGCTCTTGCTTTCTGTGTAATAGTATTTTGCTGTTTTCTTTCTTCATGCGTTGCCTGCTATTTCTGAGGATCATTTTCTGGATGAAGTGAATAAGGAAAATGGGGACAGAGGAATAGGTCCATCATCTTTGATATGATGACAGCGAAGATTTCTCTGTATAGGTTTCACTTAGGTTCTAGACTTAAGTCTAGAAGTCTGTGTGTGTGCAAGCACACACGCATACAAATGTGGGGTGGGTTTTAGGAATAACACCAATCTTTTTTCTTTCTTCCTTTCTCCCTTCTTTCTCTTCTGTGGCAACTCTAGAGACCATATGTTGAGGGTGGTAGCATCACAAGATGGAATTCCTTGGCATCCTTGTGTAACTTCTTGAAGGGAGGCCACACCTATCATGAAGAACAATATTGACTGTCTTGTTAAAAATTAATAACTTTCACTTTGTTTTAAGCCATTTAAAACAAAAGAAAGCTTTTAGTCTGTTTGTTTCATGGAAGTTTGAAGTTTATTAGAAAATAATGCTAGAAGGAGACAAGAAAAATGTGGGCATTAGCAATAAAGCGATTATCATGATAGACAATGACATTTAGGTCAACTAAGAGCAAGTGGTATTGATGGATAGTTAGAAAGTGATAGTGTCAATATGTTTATGACATTGACAAGTAATAGGATTGTGAGGGTATTTGACCAAGTGAGAAGAAGTCTATGACATACTGTTTTAAAGTGTATGTTTGCTATCAAGAGTTGATGGAATGTTCATTTTCTTACGGTATCAAGATTGAAGGCATGCTCATCAAAGTGAATGATTGAGGGGATATGAAGGAGAAATGAAAACACCAACTATGTGGAGATCAACAAACTGAGAGGCCAGGGGTTTATAGAGGACCATTTGAGAGATACGCATTTATTCCAATATTTAAAATTTTCTAGTTTTATCAGTAGATGAAACCAGAATAGTAGGAAACTCATATTGGTCCTCTCTGAACACTTTGCTCTTTATATTTTACAGATTTACTTTTGGTGAGGCAAAGATAATGTTGCATATAAAAACATGAGCATTGATGTCAGCCTGCCATCTTCTGATTCCATTCACTAGTGTAGTGGTACTTGGCAATTGGTTTACTCAAGAAATTTTTTTTTCTGATGTAAAAGGAATTTTGAAGATTAAATTAATTCAATGATTTTGAATGTCTTGATTAATAAATTACTATCATTATTGTATAATATTATGCGTTCCTACTTTGCTTGATGACTTGGCATTAAAATTTACCACTAAGTTTACTGTAGGAACAATGGCGAGGACAGTATCCACCACATCATTTATTGTTACCTATGAAACTCCTTACTTTTCACACACACACACAAAACAAAAACAGATATAGACTTGCAGATTGAAATGCCAAAAGAAATTTGCTTCCACTGAAAAACTGTTGTATATTCTCAAATTCTCCACAAATATCATGCTAACAAATGTTCAGTCCCTTTTAGCTTTGGAGACCACATAATTAGAGTCAAAACTGTGGCTTGACTTTAATATAGGAAAAGACTCTGTCAGTATCATATACACACTCCTTTCCCTCCATTAATGATAACCTTTCATCTTATTTTAGATTTAGTATTTATTTATTTATTCTTCCACATATATTACAAGTCACCTCAGTTCTTCTGTGTGTGCATATGTGTGTATTAATAACCTCAATATCCTAGATTTTGAAACCACAAACTGTGGGAAGGAAAACAGAGATCCAGAAGAAAATTTCTACCTCTATAGAAAGTTTTTATTTTAAAACAATAGGGAAGGGTTTTCCACTAAGGACTAGAATGAAGCGATTCTCCTTCTATGGGGGGCAACCCAAGCCTGTGATCTAAACGACTCTTTCTACAGGTCTTGTTTTGATTGAAAGGTTAGTTGTGCATCATCTATTGGCCTTGTTTCTTAATTGGGTCCAATCTATGTTATAATTATTTCTTTACATTGTGATTTCTAGTGTCAGGGAACTTAGAATCTAATGAGGGTTCTAGACCTCTTTTCTCAATTACATCTATATGGATATTTTAATGGTAAAAGGAGATAAAAAATAAGGTTCTATTTCCTAGTCTACAACTGAATCAATCAGGTGTTATTTTAATAATGTCCTATTCCCATCCCTGCAAGTAGAACTTGCTGCATTGCAGCTGAGAAACCATGTTAAGTAGGACACCTATGAGCATCTTTGAGAAACTGCTCAGAGG